TCCAGCTCTACACCTTGTTATCTCAGATTCTCCAGCATCTGCAGTTCCTACTATCTCTGAAACAATCAAAACATTTTAATAGTTTTACATTTTTCAATGAGACGACATCTCATTTTTAGGAGCTGTAGAAAATACAGCACATTCCACTTGTAGGACAATCCTCTCATCCTTACAATACTAACTCGCCACTCCACAGATGCTACTTGACTTGCTGAGTATTTCTAGCACCTTCTGTTTTTATTTCTCCACCAGGGATCAGTTCGCACAAAGGGCTCCATCTCAATCCCTGGTCTTTGATCATTCTGCGAGCCTCAGTCAGTGCTGGTCACAAGATCACAGTTAGTTTCAGCGTTCTTGGGGAAAGGATGGGTTGAAAGTGACACGATAATGTCAGCCAGTTTCCTGGTCTTAATCTCCACCTGGTGACTCCTGTTTGAATATTGAGTGGGAACAGGATTAGCTGTGATGCTGACACAGTCAAACAGTCACACATGAATGGCCAACAAGCAAAGTACTGGGAGGCCTGAGCGGAATCAGAGCTCAGCATGACTCGACGTATTAAGAGGACGATGGCAAATTTGTGGCTCTCAATACTTCTAATTCTCTCTCTGTCACACCCCCTCAGCCAAAACCGCGCCACCTGGAATGTTATCTTACCAAGGGTAACAGCCATAATTATTCAAATGACTATCCAGTGATAGGAATAAACACACATTCTATGTATCTATTGACCAAGGCGTAGACATGGCCTTGTGGGTGCAAACATAGAGGAGACTCTGAAATCTGAAGGTAAGAGAAATGCTAACCCACATGGGATGACGCTAACTCTGAAACACTGCACAATGCAACCAATCACTTTAACAGGAGACAACCTCAATGACTACTTCCAAGTGACAGTGCTTCCGATCACTGTTATACAGCTAGTGTTCACCTGTCGATAATAAACCAGCTCCCCACTCAACTGTCAGACAGGACACCACAGGGTTTAATTACTAAATCTATTTCACATGGTTGGCTGGTTTGTAAACAAAATACAGTAAGTTGTGATAACAACTCAATACTTCATGGAATGAGGCTCATTGATGTTTGTGATAATCTGGTTAACTTGTGATTGTAACGAGGTCAGTCAAGTGGGCCTCCTGGAATATGAGTTCCCTGATTGGGGCTGTTAATCTGGTCCAATCAGGGAGCCCTGGCTGACAGGAATGCACAGGAGTGTCAGATACCCTGTTCACTCTGAGAGCTGGTTCTGCGGGAACTGGATCAGTGTCAAGGATTCTCCATGTGTAAATAAAGGGTGGCTTGGTGATGGGATCCCAGCTTCAATGGAGTTATTTCATTTCATGTCACCAGTTAATAATGAAATATCATATGTTCCTGGAGATTGTTTAGACATAAGCCAAATACCATTATGACTCAGTTCAAAATTGCCTCCAAACCTGCTTCCAGGAGAAAGTTAATTCTGTTATTAGTGTTTGTGTAGGAATTGTATTATAGTTAATTACTGCTACATAACCAGAATACATTTCCCTGAATCCTTGCTACTATCTGCACATTTCGGTGGAAATATTGAACTCATTTTCAAAAACTCTCAACCTGCTGAAAGTGTTGCCAAGCCCCAAACGCTGACATTGTCTCTTCATAAATGTCACACTGTTGAGGGTTTCAATTGCCTGGGGTTCTCCTTCAGACATTTTGTCTTTTAACCAAAACCTTTATGGAAATAACATGATCTTGAATTCAATTGGACAGGCAATTAGTTTGTAAGAAAACGTCAAAACACTGGCCAATAAAACAATCGCTAAAGAGCATTTCTCTTCAAAGCCAATCACAGTGGAGAACAATGGTCATTAACAACTGCCCCATTGTATTGCTGGTTGCTGTGTTTGAGATAGTTCCATATCTGTTAGACACTCGCCAAGAAGATAATGACTGTTTTTTAGCAAATGAAGGAATAAAACTCACTTTTGAGATGATGTTTGGCTGGATTCTCAATGGCTCACACAGAAACGTAATGATACGTTTAGAGCTGAACCGTGTGAGTGGATGATTCTGGGTTACACAGCAGGATTATGCTGAGCTGGTTGGTTTCTGTTAAGATAGCTGGAAGGCTGGTTTGACTCCCACAGTGGACAGTACATTTAAGAGATAGATACATTTCTAAATTTTAAGGACATCAAGAGATACGGGCAGGAAGCAGGAATAGGCATCAAAATAGATGATCATCCATGATCCTACCGAATGGTGGACCAGGGTTGAAGGGCTAGTTTCTATATTACAAAAAGGCAAAGCCAGTGTCCCTGATTACCAGTGGCAGTGATGTAGGACAGCAGTGAGCTCAATGTGGTGCCCTCTGTATAGATCACCACATGACGAATGATCCTCTGGGAAGGACAGAGGCAGGATGTGATTACAGGGGATATCACATTCCATCATGAAGCTTTGGAGAGGCTGAATGAATGGGGACAAGACAGGGCCAGAACCAATGTCCATTAGTAATAGTTAGAGTACAGTGATTCGAGTTTAACTAATTGGGTTAACCAAAACCATGGCATCATTTAATGTTTTCAGTTACCATTCCAGTGTCATAATCTTCAAGAACTTCATTCTCCTCCACGACACTGGCAAAGCTGCTGGCATTCGAAGATGATCGCGAGAGATCCTGACCATCAGTTGAAGCTTTCTGATTTATTATGGCTCTAACAGTGAAAGAAAGGAAGAGTCACCTTCAGGAACAAGGAGTAGGTTATTTTTCCTTAATATGTATTTAATGATCAAACCTATTTTTCTGGAGAATCCATTTCTGATAATGAAGTTTAACGTGTAGGCATTCCATTTTATGATTTCTCAATTGTTGTAAAATTAAAATCAGTTTGGACTACATGTATTCGCAATCTTCGCATGCATTACACCCATTACAGTCCATGTGACCCAGACAGGGTGTAGTCTGTCAGCACTGAGCTATCATTGGGTCAAAACTTACTGCGCCAGTTACAAAAGCAAATTCCATGTCAAATCAGGTTCTGCAAGCAAACTAAAGACAGAGGGAAAGGAAGATTAAATTGAGAGAAAATAAAAGAAAGACAGAATGATGATGTGAAAAGTAATTGTAAACGGTTCAGAAAATGAGACATTACACCTGTACTAGGGCAAATCTGATCTTCTATGGAAAGTTTAGTTCAAAGCTAAGTACAAAAGACAGAAACTTCACACAGTCCAGTACATTGAGAATAGTCCATAAAACTATAAGATGTAGGAACAATGTAGGCCATTCAGCCCATTGAGTGTGTTCCACCATCCAATGAGATCATGGCTGATCTAATAATCCTCAACGTCACTTACTGCCTTTTCCTCATAACCATGACTTCTCCCTTACAGATTTATCCGTCTATCTCAGCCTTCAATAGACTTAATGACCCAGCCTCAACATCCCTCTGTGGTAAAGAATTCCACCCCTCCACAACCATCAGAGAAAAATGTATTCCTCATCCTTGTCTTAAATGGGTGACCCCCTTACTCTGAGATGATGTCTTCTGGTTCTAGATTCCCCCACAAAGGGAAACATCCTTTCTGCATTTACCCTGTCAAGCCCATCTTGTATGATTCAACAAAGTCACCTCTCAATCTTATAAACTGCAAAGAGTACAGGCCCAATCTCCTCAACCTCTCCTCATAAAACAATCCCTCCATACCAAGGAAGGGCAGTGAACATTCTTTGGACTGCCTCCAAGGCCAGTACATCTTTCCTTTGGTAAAGGGACTAAAATCTTTGCAGTATTCCACCTGGGATCTGATGAGTGTCTTGTGTAATTTTAGCAAGAGCTCCCTATTTTTCTACTCCAGTCCATTTGAAATAAAGGCTGACAGTCCATTTGTTTTCCTATTGCCTGTGTTTTGTCATCCATACACAAGGGCTCCCAAAAAATTCCCCTGTGCTGCAGCTTTCTGCAGTCTTTCTCCATTTAATTAGCATTCAGTTCCTTGATTCTGAAACAGTGAAGACACTGGGACTCCTTTCTTTAGTAAAGGTTAGAGGTGATCTGACACAGGTCTTTAAAAGTGCGAAGTGGTTCAATACATTGGACAAACTACAGAAGATTCAATTTGAGGGGGGAGTCCAAAACTGTGTGTTATAAATTTAAGATAGTCACTGATAAAATCACTAAGGAATTCAGGAAGGATCTTATTTATAAAGACAGTGTTTAAAATGTGGAAAGTGCTCCTGCTTGGAGTAATTGAGGCAATCATAGAGATCCATGGATAAGGAAGCTGGATAAGTACAGGCTCAAGGGGCTGAATGGCCTACTCTTGCTCGTATTTTCTATGTATGACAGTGTTTGAATTCTTTTTACCTGTAAATCTAGAATAATGCTTTCAGATTAAGCCTCATTTTCCTTGTCATCTTCCACGGCAGCACTCAGATTTGTCAATAGCAAGATGATTCTGGAGTTACTGAGTGGGTCAGTGTGAGCCAGAATCACTTGAACGTACCTGTTCTTGGTGGTGGGTATCTCTGGAGAACTCTGATTGGATGAGTTTTCAGACTTTGGTTCCTGTGAGACATGACCACTGTCTGGGGTCTTCTGGGTACTTGATGTGCTCTCTCTGTGGAAATTAAAGAACATTTAAAAACAAATTTACAGCAAGAATGAGTTCAGTAATTCAAATTTTATTTCAAGAATTACAAGGACAGTGCCTACCTCAGTCAAGGAACAATCTGAAATGTCTAGTGTGAGGTAGAGTCATACAGCATGGAAACAGACCCTTTAGTCCAAATCATCCATGTTGACCAGACATCCTAATCTGACACATCCCATTTGCCAGCATTTGGCCTATATACCTCTAAACCCTTCCTATTCATGTACCCATCCAGACGCCTTTTCAATACTGTAAGCTTCCACTGCTTCCTCTGGCAGGTCATTCCATACACACACCACCTTCTGTGTGAAAAGGTTGCCTCACAGGTCCTTTTTAAATCTTTCCCCTCACCTTAAACCTTTGCTTTCTAGTTTTGGGCTTCCCTACCTTGGGAAAAAGCCCTTAGTTATTCACCTTTCCATGCCCCTCATGATTTCATAAACCTCTATAAGTCACTTCTCAGCCTCTCATATTCCAGGGAAAATAGCCCCAGCCTATTCAGCCTCTCCCTATAGCTCAAACCCTCCAATCCTGGCAACATCTTGTAAATCTTTTCTGTGTCCTTTCAAGTTCAACAACATCGATCATATAGCAGGGAGACCAGAATTGAATGCAGCATTCCAAAAGTGGCCTCAACAATGTCCTGTACAGCTGCAACATGACATTGCAACTCCTATACTCAATGTATGACCAATGAAGGCAAGCATGCCAAATGCCTCTTTCACCACCTTCTTTTCTCAGTGATGATCTTGAATGTATGGTCTTCAACTATCCACTCACTGAACTATGGTAATAGTTTTCCAGGAAAAAGGAACTGCATTTTTATAGCACACTTCATGGTCTCAGGATAGCCTGAAAGACTTTGCAGCTGCTGAAATAGTTTCAAATATAGTCAGTGTTGTCTTGTAGGAAATATGGGAGCGAATTTGTGTGCAGCAAGTTCCCATGAACAGCAATGTGATAACAATAGAGTATCTGTTTTGAGGTGCCTGCTCATGGTTAGATGTTGCCCAGAACACCAGGAGATCTCCCATACTAGTACCAAGTCACCTGAGAGGGGTGACAGGCCTGGCTTTCTGCCTCCTTTGAAAGGGACACCTTGACAATACAGCACTGCGACAGTGTTTAGTACACTGTCATATCCATACACTGAACCAAGGAGGAGAAGTTACTCTGAGACCTATTTGTTTCATTGTTAACATGTAACTCTGTATAAACCCTGGTTTCCAGCCTCCCCTTCTGGAACCTCTCCCTATCCTGTCTCTAACTCCCGCAATGGGGGAGAAAAATCACATTTTAAAAAAATTACGAAAAGACAAAACTACCCTCAAGGGGCATAATTAGATTAACTGAAAACCAAACACCAAGGGGGAGAAACTAATGGAGGGAAGAGGAGATTGAATTAGAGTTGGATGGGGAGATAATGCACCTGTGCAAACCCCAAACCCCCACCACTCACCACACCCACCACCCCATTACCCACCTCTCCCAGCAAACCTCATAGGTACCAGTGGAAAAGCTCAACCTTTTTTTTAAATGTCAAAGTTCAGCTCTTCCTTCTGCTTCTAAGCAGAAGTGCTCTTACATACAACTCTACATTTTTCTTTTCCCCATCACCAAATCATTCCTGGTTTATTTTTCATCTACCAAGCACCACCAGTAAATCACTTGTGTTTCCAATTAAACAATTTACATGTGAAGCCTGTTAAGGGCAGTGCAGACGGTCAGGGGTGAGGGAGAAGTAGAGACGGCAGAAGGGGTGCCAGAGCTCAGCTCAGTGTATAAACTCCAATGAGCATCAGGTGCTCCTGATGACTGCTCAAGCTGTCCTGGTTTACCCTTTGAGGGACCTGCATTTCTAACATTGTCACTGGAGTGTTAATCCCAATCAAGTGCTCATGGCTCGGAGAACTCAATCTCATAACCTTTCAATTCAGAGGAAAGTATGATATCACTGAATCAAGACCAGCACATTTCATGATGTTGAATGAATGGATTTTCTCAAGCTTCCTGCTCAAGTAAAAGAGCATGAGAACTTTCAGATTGTCCTCATGAAACCTCTCATGCCCTTGGGCCTTGGCCATATTGCTGACAGCTCCATGACACATTGCTGCTGTATTCTTTCAATGACCTTGCCATCTTCCTTAAAGCAGGACCACAGAATAGCCAGAGGTTTTTAAGGGGTATAACACCACTGTCATGTTCTTTATGCCCATTTTATAAAATCTAAGATCTCGTATACTTTGCTTTATTACAAAAAAAATCAACTTGTTCTTCCACTTCTACAGATTTCAGTATCAGGAGCATTACATCTTTCTGAACCTTTTAAGGATTTGACTAGTTAGCTTACACTTTATTTTATTCTCCCTATCAAGATCATCCAAATCTATGTGTTTAATCTCCTAAACCCTTTCTGTTCTCTTGTGTGAAGGCTGATGTAGGGTATAGATTTACAGAGCCTACAGTAGAGACAAGTTGTGACATAAATAATATGTCTGTGCCATCAACAGCTCTGATTTTCATTACTTTTGTGTCTTCCTTCTTTAAGAGATTCTGCAATTGAACTGTGACGATTGAAAACTACTGATGGTTTTACATCAATGAAGGAGAGGCCCACTGTTAAGAGACTAATAAAAGTGAATTAAAGGATTTAAAATAATGAAGGAAGTATTGGCAGCGACTGAAGAAATTCACAACTGGCCCAATCCAGAAAATTAGAACCAGAATAATTATTTTAAATTAGATAAGATTTTATATTAAGTGCAGCGTTACTATTATTACTAAGAACATACAAAGATGGAGAAAGCCATTCAGTCCTTTCATCTGGATATTGTGTACCCTCCCCTCCCTACCCAACAGTATCCAGCAATTCCCTAAATGACCCTAGAATTGTAATCTCAATTAATCTAATCAAACTCTACTTGAAATGTCTATTCTGTATATGAGGAGCTAATACAAAAATTTGTTTTTTTTTACAAGCTTGATGTGTTCCTGACACAATTTTAAATTCACCTTTCCCACATCACTGCTCAAAGATCTTCTCTGAAATTACTCACTTTGCCAGGGTGAAAAGGTTCATGATGTGAGCTCATTGCAGTCAATATCTAATATTTGACAAAACAGTAGGTTTATTTGGCCATCAGGAATTACTTAATAAAAGATAGATTTCACAGTCTGCTGTTTTTCAAATAACCAAACTGAAAGAGCAAGTTGGAGTTTCAAAGTCTCTGTGAGTATAATGAAATGATCAGAATTCTACTGGGTGCTGAACAATTTCACTGGAGTTCTGTCACAGACAGGTAACCCTGTGGTTTTACTGTAGCCAGAAACTTTAATGATGTAACATATTTCTTCATTCAACACTGTTGCTTTCAACATGAACTTGACTTGATCCAGCAGCCTCATTAAATCACACAGTCTTCCTGGAAAAATGTCCAATTGTTAGAAATATATCATGTAATCATAAACATTCAGTTGGAATACATCCCATCCATCACTCAGTCCTGATACTGCAATGATAACAATGTGATTATCCGAGTTGCTTGCTGTATCAGAACCAATACAGATCTGTGAAAAATGTACTAAAAACGCCCTTTAATGCTACAGAACATAAAAAAGCATTCTGGATGTCTCCAACAAAAACTCTGTATTCCTCTGATACAACCCTAGATGTGCCTCCTGCCTTTACAATCGGTGTCAGTGGATGATTCAATTAGTGAAGCTCTCACACCACACATGTGCACTTTCTAACTCATCAATAACCAACAACACTGCTCTGCTATCCCAGCTTACATTCGCCATGACCGACTGAATGGCATTCTTCTGCCCTGTAATTATTCTGTGATTCTGTCAACATTCTCAGAGACATTATGGTTCAGGTCCCCTTTCACCAAAGCCATTACACATTTATGGAAGTAGTTTAATGGAAGCAACCATACAATGGTTTTCCCAATAAAACCAGCAAATACTGACTCGCACCTTCTCTCCACTACCTCTTGAATGTTCTCTATTCCGATGGCGCTGCTGCGGCGGGAGCTGAAAGGTCCAGATTTCTTCCTCGTTGGGCTTTTTCCAGGAATAATCAATGACTGTGAAAATATACTTAGTGTCATACACCCAACAGAAAATACACATAACTGGCCTCATATAATACACGTTACATAAGGGACCATCTCAGCATACACTGATTTGCATGCAGTCATATTTCAAAGTCAACAAATGTTTTAAAATAAAGTCACATTTATTTAAGGGAATTTCCTGTCACAAAGGTTGCCCAGGTGTACTATTTAGTGACATTGTAAAAACAGAACCTTTACAGGTCTCCCACCAATGCAGAGACATTTCGATTACAGTGAGCTTATATTGGGCAAACAAGGTGGGACCAGGGAATTACTGAGGTCCAGATAAGTAAACAAACAATTATGCATTTGTTTGATGTTCTTGTCCCTGCTATTTAATGGAGCCTTTAATTTAATTAAAATATACAAACACTTGAAGTGTTTGTTTGATCTTACTGGAGAGGGATTTCTCAGCTCATTGCTTAACAATGGGGTTTCCAATAATGGTTAAGTAACTGGAAAAAGTCTATTTATTTAAAGTATTTAATTCTTAAGTGATTTATTACCCTTAGAATCCCTTTGGGATTTTGCTGGAAATCTTAATTATTCATTTCACTTTTTAATTGTTCCATTTCCAACTCATTATATATACTTGGCCTTATTTCAGCTTTTTAGCTCCGACCTTGTCCTAAAGTTGAACTCCATTTAGTAACCAAATGAAAAACAAAGATCTGTTCCCAGGACTCTCCCCCAGTATCATTCTCAGGCAGGGGGCACAGTAACTGATACAGCAGCTCCACCCTAAAGGTGCTAAATTCTATGTCAGCTCTTGTATAATGGAGAGGCCCCTGCCTGCCCAGGTGGATTTCAGTCTGTGCAATAGGAAAGCACCCTTTCTTGTTTCTTTCTCTCTCCCACTACCACCATTCTGTTCCTACTTATTTGACCTACACCAGAGCTTCGAATGCATTACAGATGCTAGAAAGTGTTGGGCATGAAATTGGCTGCTATCTCATCGATTAGAACTAACTTTGAGAGGACCAGAATTGGCCACACAGAAATCTAAGTATCAAACCAGCTTTTCATTCCAAATAAAGACAAAACCAGATTTCAAAGGAGTTTGTGCCTCATGCCTAGAATGCTTTCCTTGTTTAATATAACTCGCAACATGAATCAATGTCGGAGTTTGCTGATTATGATTTCATGGACATTCAGTAATTTTATTTTAAGGATTTAGAGCCTTTGTGAAATTATCTAGAGAAATGTCAATGCATGTCAGCACCATAGCAAAGCTGCTTTATTTCCCATCTTTGCAGAACTGCTGAGTCCCACTGTATTTGCTCTTTTGAACTGAAGAATATATTTCTATATCCTTCACGGCCCAGTCTGTTTGACAATATACAAGGTTGAATTTAAGATTGGGAAAGGCTGAGCACTAGTTATCTTTGCACTGTGTCAGGTTCAATGCCTTCTGTGTATTTAGTTCCACCGAATATGAGAAAATCAGAAGAACATCAACAAATTTTATACAAGTCAATGTAACACCATCTCTGAAACTATTAGTTACTAAATGCATTTAACAGTTACATCAATGACTTAATTATTACACATGTAACATCAAAATAAAACAAAATCTTACAAATTAATAAAATTCAACCCCATTCTTTTGTTGTGGTAGGGATCTCTCCCCATTTTTCATCTGATCAGTATCAAAAAAAAAATTGTGCTATAACCGTCAGGTTTAAAGGTTACAGGTGCCAGAGGATTTGACCCTCCAATCTGGCTCAGGCAATAGCCAACAAGTATTAAAGAAACAAGATGACCTTGATCCTTTCACTTACATTTACTTTCTGGTACCTATCAAGTTAATTAGTTTAGAAAAAAAAGCTTTTCCTCCATCCTGAAAATTTGCTGTTATCATTCTATTCCAAAAATGATAGCCCCTCTGTATTCCTGCAACCACACCATATCATCCTAACTTTGCAAGGTTAAGTAGCTTCTGTTAACCTTCAAAACATCCACTATGGTTAAAGTTCTTACCTAAAGCATAATTGCTTCATTAGTGCAAGACTGCCTCTATTACTTTGCTATTGAAAAGATAATGATTCATTTGTCAATACCTTGACCATCCTTGAGGCTTTTTCCTGGGATCTGGTAATGCGCAGTTTGAAAAAAATCTCCTTAAATAGCTTTTCAACACAGCTCATGGGTGTTAATTGTTGTAATTTATCATTCATCTTGAACTACTTTTCCTTTAATTCAGGCATTCTTACCATTCTATTCTCCCAATCCATTTGTTTCCAAGATCTGGAACCTCCTTGACTTATCACATAAGCTAACCACTCGTTCACTGATGATTCAAATCTGCAGATCACACAACCTTCACTCCTCACACAGTGGTTCTCAATGATTCAGACCTCCTCAATTTCAGACCATTTAAGGAATAAATAAAAACACTACTTCTTTCAGGTTTTGGAATCAAAATGTGGTTGTCACTTATATCTCTAACCAACAAGTCTCTCACTTGCTGTCGATCATTACCATTGTACTCAAGTTCCACGATTTCCCATTTTCCCATGTCTATACCCAATTTTCAGTTTTAATCCCCTTTTTTTCCCCTTAAGTCTAAAACCTTCAAAGAAATTGCTGTCAGTTGGTCCTGATATTCGATGGGAAACCTGTGACAGCTGGCTTTCTGATGGGACCACTATTTCATGTCTTGTCTTGTTCAATGCTGCCAGTATGGCTTGAGTCATCCCTTCTTTGAAACATCTTGACTCTCAAACTCCTCAGCCTTGGTTATCACATGCTTCCTCCTGCTTGGATCATCTTGGAACTGAAATCAGGACTCGTTTCTTTTCAAGAAAACTCTTTTTGCTGCTGTCCCACTCCTGACAGACTTCACAAACTGAAGATTAGTATAATCCAACCACTACTTCTAAATATTAATGTTTTTAACCATTGGTTGAGTTTATACCATAAACTTTGGTTCTTTAATATCAGCAAAATATTAAACTACATAAAAACTGAAAGTGATGAATTATATACAAGTGAATAGTACCTACCAATTATTTGCATACAACATGAACCAAGTACTTCAATGTTAGTAAATATTAATAATCAATGACTCATACACAAATTAACAAATTAATAATGGATTAGTGTTTATTTATTAATCAATGATTATTCACTTTAGTGCTGTATTCATTATAATTAAAATACAAACAATAAATCAGTAGCTAAATAACATTTAAAAAATCAGGTCATGCAGTAATCTGAAAATCAAATGTGCAAATATGCAGATCGGAGACTATTATGTTCATCACCCAATTTATCCAGAGGAGTGACTTTAGATTGTAGCTGCAGCAATATAGTGACAGGATGTTAGTGACAACCCTCTATCGCTAAACTACTTTTCACTTGTGATGGAATAATGTAGACTGCAGAAGTGGTGATCCGCTATATCCCTGTGTACTCAGCCTCACACTGACCGCTCCAAGTGCCCACATGCTGAGTGGTCAGCCTCGACAGCACATCAGCTGGAGGTGCAGGTGAAATCTCAGCCCATCACTAGGAGCAGGAAAAGTCAATGTCTCTATCAATGGGCAGTTATCCGGTCACACTTAGTCTGTCCCACTGTTTCTCTCTCTCTTTGGATTCTACCCCCACCTATCGTATACTCCTCACCACCTCCCCCGACCCTATCTTCTGCATAAAAATCAACACTTTCCCAGCTACCATCAGTTCTGAGGAAGGGTCACTGGACCCGAAACGTTAACTCTGATTTCTCTCTGCAGATGCTGCCAGATCTGCTGAGCTTTTCCAGCAATTTCTGTTTTCCAACATCCACAGTTGTCTCGGTTTTTATCCTGTCACACTCCGTACTGTCTGATTACAGTAGTGGCAAGTAAGCAGCTCACCTTTTCCTGTTGAGTGAAGAACTGTGCACAGGGGCAGAAGGGCAATGCAAAACAAGGTGACCTGGAGAGATTTTCCTGCATCTCGGGCTCAGATCACGAGATTCTCTTGGAATAGGAAACACTGGACTTCTGAGTGGATCTGAAACTGCTCCTTTCACAGCCTGTGCTCTGAGCTGCCTCATTACTGTACCCTGTGACCCAGGAAACTCTCACTTATTGAGGGGGTGGCTCTGATAGCTCTGTCAGAATCTCACAGATAGTAGTTTAGCGCTGTTGTTACTAACCAGTCACTATTTGAACAATGCAGTGAAGACATCTCTTAAAAGTCAATTCCCAAGACTTTGTTAAACTTGATTATCATCGAGATTGGTCATGCATCGAGCAAACTGATTGAAATCAGTGCAATCACAACTATTATATTTAGAAACCATCTCCTCAGACAGTCAGATAGCTGACTTTGAAGTCCTTACTTAAATCTTTTGTTCATCTCCAAGTCTTGTAAATCGCTTCAAATTAAGGAGGTTTTGGAGTACAGGCTGCAAGGTCAGCAATGAGACAATGGGAAGAGATGCTCTAAATATAGAGATGGTGTTTCGAAACATTTAAAAGCAACTTGCTTCTATTAAGATAGTAAACTCATGCAGCAGATTTGAATCAGTGAGCATGCAGTGAGCGTCACACATGAGAAGCAGGATTGAACAAGAAATAGGAAAGTGAGTGTAAAGCATAAACCTCTTCTATTGTTCCTATGCCTATAGCACTGCCTCGACGTCCGTGCTTAGTTGGGCTTTTTCCAGGCACAAGCAACGACTACGGAAAGGGAAAGGAGAAAATACAAAATGAATCATGCACAGCTTTCTTCACAACAAAGACTTATGATGACTTACAAGAATGGCACCGAGAAGTGAAAATTATGGAAGTGGGGGTGAGATGCAAAAGATCCAAAGAAATTACAGCTGTTTCACCAGATATGAACAAATGTTTGGAACTGAAACTTGTACCCTGGGTTTTGGATCCAGTGTAACTGAAGTGATTCACCTGAAACACCATGGAGTACATTTTTGCAATATTTTTCAAACAGATTATTTTTCTTCTGCTTCCTGTTGAGTGCTCAGCCTCTCACACCAACCCAAGGCCAAGAGGAGAGGTGAGAAATTTCTCAACCAGACCTCCGCCAGTGTCAACGGTGTAGGGGACTGCAAAAGGCAGGAAAGTAACCTCAAGTGACTCACCTTGACTTTCCTGCCAGCAGATTACAAGGCCTTCGTTTGGTGCTACCCTAAAGCACAGTGCAAGCCTGGGGGCTCACTACAAAACAGATCACAGATGCAATCTACATCCCACACCCCGATAGTTCATCCATACATTGCTTTGTTTGGAATCTACATGCTCTGCGCAAATCACAAAGCTGCTGCAATGTTAGCAAACTGCAGACCTGATAGATCTGAAGAGTAATCACACTTAGAACTCTTACTGAGAACTCTCAATTTACATTCTCCTAGACCGTGACGCACAGTCACCTTCCCAATTGCTGGTTAATGCAGCGGCATTACCAACCAGCTGGTTTGGATTAGGTGGTCTGATTTCTGGAACAGAGTTGTGGAAATCTCTAAATTATAAATGTAAGATCTATTCTTTTGCCTAATTGCTTTGCATATTAATTAACAATGTTTTCATTGGACTTACATCATCCAAAATTCAATGTTTACAACTTGCAGCCAATATAGCGGCCCTTTTATTGTCTCATTTTAGACTTGACAATGGGTTAATCCTGTGGGTCATTACTAAGTAAATCACGAGGTAGAAAAGGCATGTAAGAAAGATACCATTACAATAATCATGGGGGATTTCAATATGCAGGTGGACTGGGAAACTCAGGTTGATTGTGGATCCTAAAATTAGGAATTCATAGAATGTTTCCAGGATGGTGTTTTAGGGCAGCTTGTGCTGCAGACCACAAGAGAACCCGCAAATCTGGATTTGATGAGGTGGAATGAGGCAGACTTGATTAGGGAGGTAAAGGTGAAGGAACTCCCAGGGGCAGTGAACATAACATGATAAAATTCATCCTGCAGTTTGAGAGGGAGAAGCCAGAGTCATTTTGTAACAGTGTTACAATTGAGTGAAGGTAACTACAAAGACATGAGGGAGGATCTGGGCAGAGTTGATTGGTTGGGGGCAGGGGAAAGATGGTGGAGCAGCAATGGCAGGAGTTTCCAGGGATAATTCGGGAGGCACAGCAGAAATTCATCCCAAGGGAAAAGTGAGGGGAGGATGAGGCAACCATGGCTGACAAGAGAAGTCAGGGACATTGTAAAAACACAAGACAAAGCATACAATGTGGTGAAGCTAAGTGGGAAGTCAGAGGATTAAACAGTCTTTAAAAACCAGCAAATGAAAACAATAAAAGGGGAGAAGATGAAATATGAGAGTAAGCTAGCTGGTAATATAAGAAAAGATTACAAGAGCTTTTTAGATATATAAAAGGTAACAGACAGGCAAGAGTGGTCCACTGGACCACTGGAAAATGTGGCTGGAGAAGCAGTGATGGGGAACAAGAAATGGTGGAGGAACTGAACAGGAACTTTGCATCAGTTTTCATGGTGGAAGATACCATCGGTATACCAGAACTTCAAGAGAGTCACAGGGTAGAGGTGAGTGTTAGTGATCATCACTAAGGAAAAGGTGCTGGGGAAGCTGAAATATCTGGAAGTGGATAAATCACCCAGGCCAGATGGACTACACCCCAGGGTTCTGAAGGAGACAGCTGAAGAGATTATGGAGGCATTGATAGTGATCTTTCAGGCATTACTGGAGTCAATTAATGTCCCAGAGGACTGGAAAATCACTAATGTAACACCCCTGTTTGAGAAGACAGGGAGGCAGAAAACAGGGAAATTATAGAGCAGTTAGCCTGACCTTGGTCATAGGTAAGATTTTAGAGTCCATTATTAAGAATGACATTGCAAAGCACTTGGAAGTGCATGGTATAATAGGGCTGAGTCAGCACAGCTTCGTGAAGGGGAGATCATGCCTGATAAACCTGTTAGAATTTTTTGAGGTGGCAATGAGCAAATTAGACAAAGGAGAGCCAATAGACATGATGTCATTTGGATTTCCAGAAGGCCTTTGACAAGGTGCCACACAGGAGGCTGCTAAATAAGATCAGAGCCCACTGTGTTAGGGGTAAGGCACTGGCATGGATAGAGGATTGGCTGACTGGCAGAAGGCAGAGAGTGGGGATAAAGGGGACTTTTTTAGGATGGCAGTGATTAGTGGAGTTCCGCAGGGGTCTGTGTTGGGACCACAACTGTTCATATTATACATTAATGATCTGGATGAAGGAACTGAGGGCATTGTTGCTAAGTTTGCAGATGACACAAAGAAAGATGGAAGGACAGGTAGTGTTGAGGAAGTGGGGAGGCTGCAGAAGGATGTGGACAGGCTGGGAGAGTGGGCAGACAAGTGGCAGACGGAATATAGTGTGGGTAGGTGGGAAGTTATGCATTTTAGTAGGAGGAATAGGGGCATAGATTGTTTTCTAACTGGGGAAAGCCTTTAGAAATCTGAAATACAAACTGACCTGGGAATCCTAGTTCAGGCTTCTCAAGGTTAACACACAGGTTCAGTTGGTAGTTAGGAAGGCAAATGCAATGTTAGCATTCATTTCAAGATGGCAAAAATACAAAAGCAGAGATGTACTGCTGAGGCTCTGTAAGAATCTGGTCAGAGCGCACTTGGAACATTGTGAGCAGTTTTGGGCCCAATATCTAAGGAAGGATGTGCCGGCCCTGGAGGGGTCCAGAGGGTGTTTGAAAGAATGATCCCAGTGATGAAAGGCTTGTCATTTGAGGAGCGGTTGAGGTCTCTGGGTCTATACTTGATGGAGTTTTGAAGGATGAGGTGGGAGCTCATTGAAACTTACAGAATACTGACAGGCCTGGAAAGGACATGGAGAAGATGTTTCCATTACTGGGAGAAACTAGGACCTGAGGGCACAGCCTCAGATGAAGGGACAACCCTTTAGAACTGAGATGAAGAGAAATTTCTTCAACCAGAAGGTAGTGAATCTGTGGAACACATTGCTGCAAGGGCTGTGGAGAACAAGTCATTGCGTGTATTTAAAACAGAGATAGATAGGTTCCTGGTTGGTGAGGGATCAAGTGTTATGGGGAGAAGGCAGGAGAAGGGGTTTGAGATGATTGAATGGCAGAGCAGACTCGATGGGCCAAATGGCCTAATTCTGCTCCTGTATCCTATGGTCTTATATCTCACTAGAGGTTCAAGAAGGAATAAGATAACTTCTGTCACTTGCCAGTGTGCTTAAAGAGAGTTTGTGTTAGTTCCTAAATCACTATGTGCTTTGATTCTGAACAATGTTTAATATTTATATTGGTGAATGTCTTTCAAAGTGCAGTAACAGTGCTGAATTCAGGCCCAGAGTGATTGCCCTGAAAGCAGCTCACTATCATCAAAGAAATAGGGAAAATACAAATTAATCTTCAAAAACAGTCAATCTGCAATAGTGGAACACCACATTCACTTCCTCCTGGCCCACCACATCCCCATCAGTGAACACAAACACAGACCTTTAATCCCTGAGCTGCTAGCTCATCTCACCACTCAGCCTGGGCAAACAGAATTAGCCAGGGCCCTACACCTCATCGATATCCGTCAATCCTGGAGCATCAAACAGGGTTGGAATCAGACTTTGAGATTTAGACTCCAGTTAAAGATTCTGCTGGCAATCAGTGGCCACTTGCGGAGCCGGAAGTGAAACTCAGAACTAGAACCCAACATTGATTATTATCTTCAGAAGAGCAAGTCAGCTCACCAACACTACTTCACACTTGCAAACACAAAACATAAGGTTTGGAAATGTATCCATGGCATATTTTTCATTTCAAAATCTCCTAAACATTACAAAAAACTCTGTAATAACCAACTGCTTGTTTTGACACTTATGGCTTCTTCAGTTCGGCTGAAAAGGAAAATGATGTTAAGTGCAGAATTCCACCAGATCATTAACACCACAGGAGCTTGTGATCAGTAAACTTCCCTAATTTTGACAAAAAAATTGCAGATGCTGGAATCCAAGGTGGACAAACAGGAGGCTGGAAGAACATAACAGGCCAGGCAGCATCTGGAGGAAAGGAGCAGTCAATGTTTTGGCTATTACCCTTCTTCAAG